CTGCAATGGCCGGAGCTGTGCCTATCCGAAGTTAGGAGCCAGGTGCTTCTTCCAGGTCTCCCATCTGGGTGCAGGGGCCCAAGGACTTAGGCCACCTTCTACTGCTTTCCCAGGCCATAGCAGAGAGCTGGATCGGAAATGGAGCAGCCAGGACTTGAACCAGTATCCAAATGGGATGCTGGCACTGCAGGCAGCGGCTTTATCCACTGTGCCACAGCACTGGCCTCAATATATTTTCTGACATTTGGAAAACTTTTTTCACTCAATAGGCTGTAGAAAGCTGTGGAGGAATTGCTGAATGTAAGTGAACCCCTCCAAGATGAGAAGTACCTAGTGAACACCTACTACTTTAGCAGATTTGCAGATAAAGCTGAAGACTGCGGCTTAGCCCCGCCTTACTTTAGTACAACGTGCATACTATAGCTTACGATTCACCCTGAGGAAGCAGAACCAAGACTTACTGAATTAGAAAATAGACATCTGCATTAGGAAAGCCAGGAGAGCTTTCTGCCTACACTGTAGTTGCAAGAAATATCGAACAAATAAGATGGAGCCCTCTGTAACCTAATATTCAGATGTAGCAACCGGACCCAACTAGTTTATTTATTCCATTATCATGAATTATTTTACTCTGTTTGCTGGATTTACTATTATGTGTTTTTGTATTACTTTCAAATATCATCAGGCAAATAACTGGGACTCACAGAAAGTTACCACTGTTGAAATAATGCACATCTCAACAGGATTCCACTGAGCGGACAGTGGAATGGTCAGAATGCATAATAGCAAATTACCAAGGAAGGCGATAACAAGTCAGCCTGTGTCAGACTCTGTACAAAATGCTTAAGTACGTGGTTTCAACTCATTGTGACAGTGATCCTATACAGTAGATCCATTCATATTTTGTGAATAAATATGTTGAATCTTAGCAAAGTTTAGAATCTTCTTTAAGGTTACATAATCTCAAACAGAAGGCAGAAAAATGACATATTTAGTTACTAAAATAAACCCTTATATATGTTACATGATTCTGACAATATAGGCAATATCGGCAGAGATTTCAAGATTAGTAATAATAATAGATAATAGTTAATCCTAATCATGTGTCCAGAATAATGTTCATCATTTCACCAGTGTTAATAGGAAATAATTTGTTAGGAAAATATTTGTAGTCTGTGATCTATTTCTATCCAAACCTCTGTTTTATAAAGAAACATAGGTCCTCGATTATCCTTTATCTCTCAAATATTTTTTAAAGCTTTATTTGAAAAGTAGAGGAGAGGGGGAGAAGGAGAGAGGAATGGATCTTTCATCTGCTGGTTCAACCCCCGAATTCCCACAACATTCAGGGCTGAGTCAGGCCAAGCCAGGAGCCAGAAACGCCGTCCTGGTCTCCCACGTCGGTGGTAGGAACCCAGGTACTTGAGTCTTCTGCTGCTGCCTCCCAGGCGCATCCACGCACATCTGCATCAAAAGCAGGGGCTGGGACTCTGAATCCCACTTCAGTCTGGGACGTGGGCGTTCCAAGCAGTGGCTTAACCCACTTTGCCATGGTGCCTGCTCCTATCTTCCAGTTTTTATTTTCCTGGCTAACTGGTTCCTTCCCATCAGCTTTCCAATAAACTCAAAATCTTTTCAGTCAATTTCCCAGAATAAAACAAACAAGACCTTTCTTCATTTATCTTTATCTCATATTCTTCAATATTACAGCCAACTTGTTGGGAAGAGGTGTCTATACTGTGTGTCTCAATTTCCCATTCACCTCTCAACCCATCTGTCAAGAAGGGCTGCTGGAGCCTCTGACCAAGGGTGGTCGCACACAGCCTTCATGTGTCTGCCCCTCTCAGTCTGCTACAGCTGCACAGTCATCTTGTCCAAGGGCAGGCCTGACCCTTCCTGGGGTGGCCCACATGGGTGATGAGCAAGATGGGGCAAGAGGATGGCCCTTCAGCTTGAAGCAGATAACTGATGGGCACTGTTGCCTTTGTGGCCCTGTCTGTTGGACTGAAGTCTTATCAGTCTTGCATCACCTTTCAGTTTCTTCATCCACTGAATCTTGCTTCTTCCCCTTTCTTTCAAAGATGTTGAACCTTAGCTAATATACATCTGGTTCCCCAAATTCTATTCTAACATGTGGTTCCAGAAATTCCCCATTGGTGACACCATGGCAATCTGCTTGGTCTTGATTGCATCAGTGAATATTTCTGGGGTTGCCAAAGACCTACATGCTGATAAATCTAACAGGCTTTTATCAGTCGTCAATTTTTAAAAAGATTTACTTATTTATTTGAAAGTCAGAGTTATATATATAGAGAGAAGGAGAGGCACAGAGAGCGAAAGCGAGAGCAAGAGAGAGAGAGAGAGAGAGAGAGGTCTTCCATCCACTGGTTCACTCCCCAATTGGCTGCAATGGCCAAAGCTGCTCCAATCTGAAGCCAGGAGCCTGAAGCCTCCTCGGGGTCTCTCACACAAGTCCAGGGGCCCAAGGACTTGGGCCATCTTCCACTGCTTTCCCAGGCCATAGCAGAGAGCTGGATTGGAAGTGGAGCAGCCAGTTCTAGAATTGGCACCCATATGGGATGTAGGCACTGCAGGCACCGGCTTTACCTGCTTCGCCGCAGCGCTAGCCCCATATCAGCCATCAATTTGTATAACCTCTCCTGGCATGTGAGGTAGAAATTAAGGAAAAATTATAGTGACAGCCAACAGAATTAATATATTTTTTGCAGACACATCATTCATCTATTATTTTATCATCAAATACATAAAGAAGGGCTTCAAATATCATGCCAAGTAGAGGAATACAAAAATGAGACTGAGACCTTGTTATCTGGGAGCTCTTTTTCATGAGGTTTCATTGAACATGGAGAGAGAGCAGAGATGGGTACTTCTGAGTTCTGAGCTTGTGCAAATGGATGGTGGGGATGTCACAGAGGTAAAACCTGTAGGCGGGATAAATGGTTTAAAAGAGGCAAGAGGAAAAGTTTATTGTTGAGTCTTACGAGCTAAAGGTAATTGCAGAACAATGCAGCAAGGCCTCAGAGTAATTGTAGTAGAGACTAAATTGCAATAATAAGATTCAACATAACTTGAGAAAACAGCAAATGAGGAGTAGGGGTGAGGGCTTGCTGAACCTAACCGAGCACCCAACTGGTAACTAGGGTTCATTAAAAATCAATCTCAAAGTGCCTTCCCCAGAGGAAGCCGTGCATTTTTACAAACTCTCCAGCTGTACTGTGTTCTGTTCTGCTGCCTTCCAGGTGCATTAGCAAGGGGCTGGATGGGAAGTGGAGCAGCCAGAACTTGAGTTGGTGCTCACATGAGATGTTAGCATCACAGGTGGATGCTTAACCTGCTACACCACAATGCCAGTCTTTTTTTTTTTATTGTTTTATTTTATTTATTTGAAAGGCAGAGTGACAGAGAGAGAGTGTGTGACAGAGACAGGGAGAGGGAGAGGGAGAAAGGGAAAGGGATGGGGAAGAGAGGGAGAGAAGTAGAGAGGGGGAGAGAGGGAGGGGGGAGAGGGAGAGAAGGAGAGGGAGAGGGAAAGACAGGGAGAGGAAGAGAGGAGGAAAGGGAGAGAGGAGAGAGCAAAGTACCATGCTACTGATGAAAGATCTGAACTTAAACAAGAGGTATCCCATCCTCTGAGGCTGAAGAAAAGGAAAAAAAAATAGGTACCGAGAGAAACATTTTGTAGATGTGGGATGAAGCAAAGGGAGAGAAGGGTGAAAGCTTCAGTTTTTTTCTGAGGTAGGTGGCAAGGTTATCTGTAGAACAGATATTTTATTTTGCCTTTTCTCACATGATGGAATTTCATATATGAAATTACAACTGAAATCATATCTAGTATATTAAAGATTTCAAATATTTATTTTATATTAGGGTAATTATTATATAAATCACAGGTGTAATTGTGTGTTTTTTGGTGCCTATATCAAAACCCTGAAATTCTCTCTTAATCTAATTTGGAAGTTCATTGAATTTATGATATTTTCAGTCAGAAAAAATTTACTTCAAACATACACTGTCACTGTATTATATATATTTGTTACTCAATTTAATAAACAACAGCCACTTTTGAACTCATGTAATTGTGTGTATCTCGTCCTAAACTATATACTGGCTAACTCTATCAAAAAGCAGACATTAAAATGTTTCTTGAGTGGAGCAAATCTTTGAGATCAATAGTTGCTAACCTGGGGGACCCAGACTCTCAGAAACTGAATAGAGGAAGTTGATGATTGATTTTCACAGTTCCTAATGTAAACCCCATCTTACCCCTAGGAAAGCTTCGAGTTCCTTGACTACTTGAAATTGTTTCACTTCAGTAGACACTCTAATGGGTCCTTGCAATATTAAAACATGGGTAACTCATCAATCATTACTTAATCAATACATTTAAAAGCTAGACATAAACTTTCCAAACACGAAGCTGGGATAGGAGAATGATTATCAGAGTTTGAGGTAATTGGTAGTGAAAAAGTGGAAAGTTGATTGAGTCTAATCCATAGTTTACAGATGAGAACACTGAAGGGAAACAGAATTTATCATGTCATGGTTCATTAGAAGAGCCAGCATTTGGACTTGTTCATTTCATATTTTAGGAGTCAGGAAAAAGTTATCTAACATGTTATTTTCTTGGGTGTGTAGTGTTCTTAGCATCTGAAACACAAGTGATTTGCATTTTTGGTGGTGGGATGAATGCATATCCATAGAAAATACCCTAGTCCAGACCCTTGGTTTCTTAATTTGTACTCCATCTTCCAGCCGACTTTCCAAAAAAGTGGAAATAAATCCTGTAGAGGCATTAAAAACAAAAACTTTCAAAAAAAGCTTCATAGGAAAAAGGTGTCATAAAAGATTAGTTTCAAGATATATTCTTTCATTCTTAATTTCAGGATAGTTCCCATTCATATCTATGCTAGTTATCATTGCTCTATAAGAAAAGTATGGAATTAAACTGTTAGCGGTTAATGAATCTGCAAAAAGAAAACTTATTTGAAACTTCTGTAGTTTAATGTTGGATGTGCACACTGAATGTGTAACATTCTCAGAGGTTACCACATATTCACAATTGCCAAATAGAAACCAACTTTATACAAAAGTTTCACTATTACAATAATTTTCAAAAAATATTTAACAGCTCTGCCTTTTAACAAGATAGATCATTTGAACAGAAAACATAATATGCTTTCATATTTAGAGATACAAACAATAGTTTTCTTCTTGTGGAATGTTTTACAATTTCCTTCCCCAGATTCTTTATTTTTCTTCTTTAGGCTTGTTTTTTGGACAGTATAGTCATGATTTTTTCTGGAGTGATCTCATTTTTTCACTCTTTTTTGAAGAGGAGAGGACATCTTCCATTGACAGCCTAAAAGTAATATCTTCATAATCGTGGCCAAAGCAGAAATGGGTTATTTTCTAATTCTTACATGTCACTGATGCAGTCTTCTGAGATATTAAGCAGAAAGACCATTTTCTAAGTTCAAAATTTCAAAACTTTCTAAGGATAATCAGAAATTCACAACAAATGGTAACAAGTAGTTTTGTGCATTCATTTTCTATGATACCCAGTAACGGTTTCCAGTGGAGACTCCGCCTTCATCTTGGCAACACAGCAGAAAGACCAAAGCTGAGTCTAGTCATTATCATAGATACAACCTGAAAGAAAAAACATGCAAACCTAAATGTAGTTACAGAAACACAAGCTCTCGGGGTGTTCCAAGGTGAGAAACGTGGGTAACAAATGCTGACTTGGATTGAAAAAAAAAAAAAAAAGTAGAACTGAGTCACTTACGGAAAACTAGTTATGTGAATTTTTAATGTTTAATGTTAATTGTTTAATTAATGTTAATGTTAATTGTTTAACATGTTTAATTTCATTGTTTAATATACAATTCCAATAACATTTCTGGACAGATGTATTCTCTACCAAATGAGACTCAATGTGATTTTATTTTCTTTGACATTGTACTCTTTGGTAGTCATTCTGAATGAGGTTGAAAATTTTACATATGAATAGGAATCACTGGTTTAAAAAGACTAGCGAGCAACATGACCAGCACTGTGCTTCATTGGAGATTATCTTTTTAAGTAACAATTCAGAAATAAATGATGCTTCTGTTAGTGTTCTTGTACCTACTTACTGATCAAGTATGCATATTTATTTTGATGAAAGAAATCATTATTAAGATTCATAGTCCGATGGAAAATTTATTAAAAATTGTTACTTCTCTTTTCAAAGAAGAGGTTTTTCTCTCTTGTTTTCCAGTCCTTGGTGAAAAAAGGAATTAATTTTTTCCATGATAGCAGGGCATTTACCTTGCTTAACATTTTTGATAGATTCAAATTCTGATCAAATTGGAAGGCTATAAGGCTCTACTTCATTCAGTAAGCTGGTTTTGGATAACAGCAAACACACCATAGCTGTTCTTTGTTGTGGGTGCTATGGGAGACTTACCATCAGCAATATCGTCATAGATCTCTCCATCGCTGTAATGTAGAAAAGAATGTGCTTTAACGAAAATGTCTTCTTATCTTTAAAGCAACACACAGAAAACAATGCACTTTTATACAACACAATTAAGAGTTTTAAGGATGAGAAATGAAGTGTTAGGCATTTTAGGTGGGGAGAAAGTTCATATTCACCTACGTTTCTTCTTTTAGCGGCTTAATCAAATCCTTTGCTTTGTTCTGCAAGCAGGATGACTGAAACATGCTTCAAGAGCACAGACTGTGCCTCACTCATCTTTAGATCCTACCGTGGTCTAGCACACAGCTGTGCTCTGTAAGCAATGCTTGCTGGACCGCACGGATCTCATAACAACCACGGCACAAGACTCCACTGAGGGCCTTCAAACAAAACTGTACTGAATTTTATACCTATTAATATCATATCCACACTTTCACTTGAATTTCAAATGTTGAATGAAGTATAATAATATTTGGCCTAGGAAATGGTTGCATAATTTTATATTTTCTAATTATGATTTATAAATGTTAGTTATAAAATATATAAATATTACTTACAGAATAATTAGTAGAGAGGGTTGTTGTAGAGATTCTTATGCAATGCTAAAAATACTATTTATGACTGTAGACAGCATCCACCACAATGGTTTTGGCTGCTTTTACACAGTTTAGCTTTTGCCATGCCCTGACTCTTTGTGAAATATTTTATTCAATAAGCATATCAAGTGCCTCCTGTATGCCGGGAGACATAAATATGAGTAAGACCCAAGCTGTGATTTTAAGCATTTTATGACCTAAAGGGAGTATGATACCTAGGCAATAAAACAGAAAACGTTATAAATAGTAACATGGTCTTGATGGAGGCTGCAGCTCCACAGTTCGGACAGTGAAGTGGCCCTGTCACGCAGACCAGGCTCCCTCTGGGTTCTTGTCCTTTCTCTGTGCTTCTTCGTGGAAGCAGCAGCAGGCCCTTCGAACTGCTGCCAACTGTGGCAGATGCTGTGAGCTCCCTATGTCTTCTGTTTGGATTTTCCTCCGAGACTGAGGGAGGGTTTGGCTAACAGAAATCGGATACAAATGCAAAGAGGCCAGATTTTCTTGTCGTTCATTCAATAGACATTTATTAAGTATTCACTTCAAGTATTGTACATGGTGAACCAATAATTACATAGACAGTATACTTTTTCTCTTCATCATTTTTGAATAATCGCTAATGATATCGTCCTATCAATTTCCTCACATTTTGTATCTTTCATGGAACAAAACCTACTGAAAAGTCCCATGTCTCCCACCATAATTATTGCTCTGATTATTACTTTGAAAACAAAGGTATTATGATTATTTTTCTTTTGATTATCTACTAGTTTGCTGACAAAGATCTTAACAGTGATCCCTGTTTTGATTCATGCCAGGTTGTTCATGAATGAGCAGTTTGTGCATCCTCCTTGATCTTTCAGCATGCTGAATTCCATAGGTCTTTGTGTTGGTACATAGCCTAACCTGATAATGGAGTTCATTTCTGGCACTGGGCTCCTTGGAACAGCATCTTGCAATGTTTTGGGGAACTCCAATGGTACACTAGTACCAGACTGTGACAACGTCTTATTCATAAGAATAGAGGCATCATTGACGACTATCTTTGCTCCTGGTGTGCTTCCAAAAAGGCAATATAATACTCTACTATGCCTGATGGGAGATAAGAAAAGCCCTCAATGAGGGGCTAAGCTAGAAACTGTTAACAGGTGATATTAGCACCTACCATGTAGACATTTACTGGTCTCTAACTAATTCAATTAAACTAACTGCATTAATCAGCAAGTGAAATGAAAGTATTAATTAATGAAAGGGTCAGGGGCTTTGACCTGTCTTGGGTGTTTGCTGAGTGGTGAGCTCAATTAATATAGAAGACTTTGAACTGTAGAATAACAATAATTGTATAATAATAATAATAATAATTGTATAATAACGGGAAAGGCTTCCTGCTGATTTAAGAGATTTGCACTTGAGGATGGTCTTAATTTTATTATGGATACTACTGTATGGGCATTAGTACAGGATACTGTTTATTTTGATGTAAAAATTTTTAAAAAATTTGTTGAAAAGGTGGGGGTGGAAGGAAAGAGAGAAAGAGACAGAAAAAGAAAGGGAGAGAGAGAGACACACACACACACACAGAGAAGAGATCGAGATCTTCTGTCTGTTGGTTCACTCCCTAAATTGCCTCAATGGCTGGAGCTGGGCCAATCTGAAGCCAGGAGGCTTGAGCTTCTTCCAGGTCTCCCAGGTCTTGGGTTCAGGAGCCCAAGAACTTGCACCATCTTCCACTGCTTTCCCAGGCCATAGCAAAGAGCTGGATAGGAAGTGGAGCAGCCAGGTCTCGAACCAGTGCCCATATGGGATACCAGCACTGCAGGTGGCAGCTTTACCAGCTACACCACAGCGCCAGCCCCTCCAAGTGTCATCTTAACCACTTTGCCGAGCACCCAGCCCACATACTATTTTACATCAGTTGATGATGATTTAGTAGATCATATTACTTAAGTGATATTAGGAATCTACTCCACTTCTAACCTAGCTTCCTGCTAATGCACAACCTAGGAAACATCAGATGACGGCTCAAGTCCTTGAGTCCCTGCCACCCACGGAGGCCTGGATGGAGTTACCAGCTCCTGGCTTCAGCCTGGACCAACCCTGGCTATTGCAGGCACATGAGGAGTGAATCAGCAGATTGAAGGTCCCACTCCGACTCTTTCTCTTTCTGATGCTCTGCCTTCTAAAAACATAAACATTTTTTAAAAGAAAAGCACAAAATTCTTTTTAGAAATGTAACAGTAGAAGAAAATGGGCTTACTTGTCAACCAGGTAACTCCGAAGCACATAACCATCTATGAAAGAATAATGAAATACATTTTATTAATAATACAGGTTTGAAAAATATTTACTATTTCTCTTAATAAGAAAAGCAAATAAATTTTATAATATATGGCATCATCTCCAAGTCTGACTCATTTTTCTTATTTCTGTCCACTTTTCTTGCCTTCCTTTCTCCTTTTCTCCCTAACTTTTCTCTCTGACATGTCTCCTTTTTCCTCCATGTACAAACTTTCCTCCTTTCCCCTTTAAATAAGACAGCAACAACAACAAACAACCTGAATTCTTTTCTCCTAGCTATGGCAGGCTGATGTTCAGGGGTCCTTCACATTTTAGTCTTATTTCTTCAGTGTGTTACACACATCGCCCAACTGTAGCAAGAAGGAAGTACAGATTGTAACAGTTTCTAAGTGAGCATTTTCAATACTGCCAGATCTAAGACTTACCTTTTCCAGTTTTAGTATATCAAACAGCGTCAGAACTGCAGTCAACTCCACCTCCAGGAGCCAGTGAGCTAACAGCTACTTGGAAGAGAGTGCATTCTAAAAAGTCTTAAAAGAGCTCCCTTTGGGTCAGTATGGAAGAGCTTCCACTGCTGGTTTGGTTTTTTATTGTTTTTTTGTTTTTTTTCCATTTGGCAGAGTGACAACATTTACATTGCATCATTCATGGAACAAACACACTCCATTATTGGAAGACCAAACACCAGGGATTCAAGTGATGCTTCCATTACATAGAAAAAAAATTCATATTTTTATACTAGAAAGTTGTTTTTAAAAACGAATTTATTTTTATTTGAAAGGAAGACAAGGTGTGGAGGGAGCAAAGGGAAAGAGAGATCTGCCACTCACTAGTCTGCTCTCCAAATGACTGCAAGAACCTGGGGCTGGACCAGGCTGAACCTAGGAGCCAGGAACTCTACCCAGTGCCACCCTTTGGGTGCAAGGAACTCAAGTACTTGAGCCATCGTCCCCTGCCTCCCAGGAACATCTGCAGAGAGCTAGATTGGAAGTAGCGCACCCACGAGTGGATTCTGATATGGGATGCAGGCATCCTGTGTGGTCATTTCATGCACTGCAACGTAACACCCTCCCCACTTGTATGTTTTGGTGAATATTCTGTTGTTTTGTTGCTGTTGCTGCTGCTGCTATTGTTGTTGTTGTATGTGTGTGTGTGTGTGTGTGTGAGAGAGAGAGAGAGACAGAGAGAGACAGAGAGAGACACAGAGAGAGAGAAACACAGAAACATCAACAATTTGAATGTTATTCAGGAAAACTGTATCAAGTCGATGGTGAAGGGGATAGTACTTGCTGCTGTATCTCACTTCCCTGACATGATGTGATAATTTGGGGCTCATTAGCTATGAAATCATTGTTTTAGAGCATTTTTGCAAGATTAATGACTTTTAATAGGGCATAGATTTTTTTGCTGTCTGGTATCTTAAAACATCTCTGCTAAAACTTCACTCTATTAAAGCATGACTCATGGCGATGTCAAAACAAGTGACTTGCCCTGAATTTATATATAATCTCTCCATTATGGTTCTTAGAAACAATTTTTTTTTTTGCAGGAAGAAAGTGTTCTCTTTACTCACATTACATACATGAGGGGATTTCAAAAAGTAGTGGAAAATGGATTCAGAGAAAATGTACATTTTCCACAAACTTTTTGAACACCACTGGTACATTTATCACAGAGAATGGCAATAAAAAATACAAACATAACAAACAACAAAAAGCCCTTGTCACGTTGCATGCGGTGGAGAATGGCTGTTGTGTTTAGTAAAGCCCTGTGATTCTGTGGGCGCCAGTACACCAGGAATTCTCACATATCACAGGAAATTACTGTTTGGAAACCTCACATGCACAGAGCAGAACACAGTGGCTTGAACTGAATGTTTTGAAATCCATGGTGGGGCAGAATTGGTTAGGAAAGCAACACCCCCACCCCATATGTGCTAGTTAATTTCTCTGGTGCAGATGTGTCTCAGGACAAATGACTCACCTTTTAAAATAAAAATATAAAATTACCAAGGACATAAAAATCCTTTAGAGCACAGAAATCATCTCCCTTCTAATATTTTCAAATTTTTTTTACTTAGAAAAGTCGACATTATATTATTTCATTATTTTGTGTGTGAGAAAATCCAGATATTAATTTACTCAATCTGGCTTCATATAGCTTATAAACAATAAGATTATATTGTAAAGATTTACCCAGGCAAATGGAACCATGTCCAGTTCAAAGGGGAAAATGCCTTGAAGCATTTTCGTAATAGAGTGAATAAAACAGTAATACATAGCCTGAACATCAATAATTTTCCTAATTTTATAAAAATGCTTTTCTCCTCTGCTCTAAATTGTTATTTCTGAGGCCTCATATAAGAATGACTTTGAACATTTCTAAATGTTAAAAATCTTCAGTGAGCATGTGTGTTTTGAAATTTAAAAACATTTCCTTAAATACAGACAGGATCAGCTGGAATTGGGAAGATCTGAAGCACCTTTAAAGCACCTCTTTCTTTGATGCCCAAAAGATACGGAGGACGTTTTGCCACAAATAACTCAGCTCCCGTCTCGTTCCACACTTTTTGTAGAAAATTTTTCTCTGATGACAGGAGGTGGGAAAACTCACAGCTTATGAGACATTGAGTTGTGGAATATGTGCAATTATTACTGAGAGATTCTAAACACTGGGGAATGTGCCAGAAGCGTTTATTTAAGATCTCAACACCTCCACAGCACTGGCTTCTGCAAGTCAGTGGGCGGGTCCTGATCAAAGGTAACAATGTCTGTAAAAGAAGCTGACACTCCACTCTACAATGCTAAGGGGCTGTGGTTCCTGCTTGAGTCTCTAATTTCTATCATTAGCAACTATGCTCTCTTTTCTTGGATGAGTTGAAGAAGAATGGAGAGCCAAGTCACCATGGTGCTGGGCTGTGTATATCTTTGATACTACTGAGAAGATAGAGAAACAAGGAAGTGAAAGATTGAGTGTATCTGACGATACACAACAAGCTATCCACAGTACAAAGATTAAGGTGGAGAATGACTATCTTCTAATCAGCTGAACTATTCAATACACTTCTTCCTGTGAGTGTCTGTAGGTCAGACTGTCACCTGTGTGCCCAACTACACTTTTCAAATGGTTACATTCCATAGAGAGAACCCCACACAAGGTGCTGGGCTGTGCACATGTTGGTGAAACAGCACTGAGAACTTTTCGTTGAAGTTGCACTTAAGCTCAGAGTCTAATAAAGCTCAGAGATTGCCAGAACAATAATGACAAATACAGCAGCAGCCGTAGTATGATGGTGGACTTGGGAGAGGTTGTGATGAGTTTGCTGGTGTGGGCAGTGAAGTGCAGCTGAAGTTAGATGACAACTGAATTATTTTTCTTTAAAGAAAAATTATTTTCTTTAAAGACTATTTTATGCCGGCGCTGTAGAAGATGGCTCAAGTGCTTGGGTCACTGCACCTGCATGGGAGACCCAGAAGAAGCTCCCGGCTCCTGGCTCCTGGCTTCAGATTGGCCCAGCAGATGGAAGACCTTTCTCTCAGTCTCTCTCTCTCTCTGTCTGTAATTCTACCTCTCAAATAAATAAAGTCTTTTTTAAAAGTTTTATTTATTTATAATTATTTGAAAGGCAGATAAATACAGAGAGAGAGAGAGAGAGAGAGAGAGAAAGTTTGATCCTCCAACTGCTGGCTCACTTCCCAAATGCCCATAATAGCTGGGGCTAGGCTGAGCTGTCAGGAGCCAGGAACCCAATCCAGGTTTCACACATGAGTGGCAGGGACCCAAGTACTTGTGCTATCACTGTGCCTCCCAGGATGTGCATTAGCAGGAAGCTGGGTTGGAATTGGAGTGAGGACTCAAGCCCAGGTTCTCAGATACGGGATGTGGGCATCCCAAGTTGTGAATTAATTGCTGTGCCAAACACCCGATCCCCACACAATCTGCATGATTTTTTTAAATAAGGAGTAAATCCTACTTCCTATTCTTCCTACTATTCTATCATGAGATATTCATCACATTATTTTCATAATCATCATTTAAAACATCCAGTGGGTATATTCATAATACCTAATCACTTAAAGTTTTTGAACCTTTTCATTCCGGTCTCCCGCATGACTGCAGGGTCCCAGGCAGCTGGGCCATCTTCCGCTGCTTTTCGCAGGCCATTAGGAGGGAGCTGGATGGGAAGTGGAGCAGCTGGGATACACACCAGTGCCTGTAGAGGATGCCTGTGTTGCAGGCGGCTGCTTTGCCTGCTACTCCACAACGCAGGCCCCTGCAGGCCACTGGTTACAGTAGATCCCTGCAAGTGCTAGCCTGCAAGGGGATTTTCCTGTATCTTAGAGCTGTGTCTAACATTATCTCCAGATGCAAATCTTGATATTATGCTCTTCCTTCCCTTTACCTTTTGTGGCCACGTCCTGTATTTTCTTATGAAAATCTTCTCCATGATAACTATAGATCCATTCCCCCCTTCCTGGAATTACTGTGTTGTGTTCTGAAAAATCCATTTATATTCCTGTCCCATGTCAGCCTCTTCCCATTAAAATCAAAGCCGAGAGTCCATGTTTCCACGCACATTGATCAAGACGATATGCAGCAGTGATGTGTGCTTTCCAAGGGCAAATCTGGGACTGCATATTTTAAAATTACTTTTCCTTGTACATTAAATAAGCTTCCTTTTAAATTTTGATAAAAATAAGGGTAGGCTTTTTGTGCAGTGGTGTTGCTTGGAACAACCATAACCCACATATCCAGGCTGAATTCTGGGCTCCTGGTATCAGCCTGGCCCATGACAGCTGTTGCAGGCAATTGGGGAGCAAGCCAGCAGACAGGAGAGCTGTCTGTCTTTCTGTCTTTCAAATAAAAATGAATATAAATAAATCTTTTAAAATAAAAAAAAACTTGACAAAAATATTTTCTTCTGGCAGTAGATAGTCAGAGGACAGGGACTCTCTTGTATTTATTATAGGTTGCATTAAATACATAAAAATAGAAAGTAAAAACAAGTGAAATTGCAAGGCAGGAAAACTAGGAATTCTAGCTGCAAGATCCTGCATAATTTCAGAACCAGGCCAGAGCAAGAAGCACTCAGTACTTCACCACAGTAGTTCTCCCTTTAGTACACAAATGAATGAACAAACTAGGGAAGAGGGCTCGGGTTCTACCTCGTTCCCAGAACTCATCAGTCAGCAAGTCAAGGGTGGGTTTGTGCAACTGCAATTTTAATACACATGCAAGCATTTTCTGTTTTAGTTGATTGTTTTCTACAATTTTTATTTATTAGAGAGGGAGAGAGACAGAGACTCCCATCTACCAGTTCACTCCCTAAATCCTCATAACAACCAATTCTGGGCCAGGCGTAAGTGGAAGCCAGAAACTCAGTCCAGGTCTATAGAGGTGGTATGGTCCCAATTACTTGAGCCATCATCTGCTGCTTTCCAGGGTGTGCATTTACAGGAAACTGGAATCAGGAGTGGAGCCAGGACTTGAACCAAGGCACTCCAATTAGGGATGTGAGTATCCCAAGTGGTGGCATAATCGGTAGGTCAAATGCCCACCCCTACAAGGATTTTCTGATGCTGGTGGTCTGGAAGACCACATTTTGAGAAGAACTAACATGGCATTACCTTTGACATCACAGTTTATGTCACTAGCTGGTAAATGAAAAGAGGTTCAAATAAAATACGTTGACTTCAGCGTGCAAAATTTTCAGTTTCTTAATATTTTCTACAACTACTTGTAAAATGTAGAGCCCGAAGAGTTTGTAAAAGCAAGGTGATCGGGGGCAGCACTGTGGCGTAGTGGGTAAAGCCGCCGCCTACAGTGCTGTCATCCCATATGGGCACAGACAGGTTCAAGTCCCGGCTGCTCCACTTCCAATCCAGCTCTCTGCTATGGCCTGGGAAAGCAGTGAAAGATGGCCCAAGTGCTCGGACCCCTGCACCTATGTGGGCGACCCAGATAAAGCTCCTGGCTCCTGGGTTTGGATTAGCACAGCTCCAGGCATGCGGCCATCTGGGGAGTGAACCAGTGGATGGAAGACCTCTCTCTCTCTCTCTCTCTCTCTCTCTCTCTCTCTCTGCCTCTGCCTCTGCCTCTGCCTCTCTGTAACTCTGCCTTTCAAATAAATAAATAAATCTAAAAAAAAGGCAAGGTGGTCATGAAAGCCTTGTTTGGTTGTTGCATTCTGCAGTGTTGTGTACATGTGGAGTCAGCACAGACTTACATTTTCCTTCTTCATTCCTGCAGAGAACTTTTGTGTCATCTGTGTTTTGCAGAACTTCAAGAGATTCACCAGGTTTTATCTGTAGGTCTCTGGTCCCCCACTTCTTAGAAGTTAAGGAAGGTACAACCTTGGTTGAATACAAGACTCTAATTTCACCATCATACTTAAAAAAAAAAAAAGAAAAAACATTAACATGATTGGTTGATACATGTTATCATAGTATTTCATTTCTCAGTATTTATTTGCTAAACAAACAGTTTAGTGCTTTCAAAAGACAATATAAAGCATTAAAGACAATTTTGAGGGAGGAAAGTTGCTCATAACCTCACTAATTTACTTGATCAGCTATCTTTAGAGTGTTTTTAAGACAAGGCATCATATTTGTAATATTGAACATGGGTGACAGCTTACTTAATTTGTTATAAGAATGAAATTATATCTAAAATGTTTGTGGAAAATAAGGGTACTATGATGGATAACTGTAATATTGAGCATTACACTTTTAAGTATTTTGTACTTAAAAATCACTGAACTTTTTTCATTAGTGCTTTGAACCTTGTATGATATTGAAATATGACATACTTTAAATTTTTTCCTGAAGTCTTTTTCTTCCTTTTCCTGCTTTTTTAACTTCTTAGGGTCTTTTTCTTCTGTCTTGGTCTTTCCAATATTCATTCCTTGACTAGAATAACAGAACACACACACAATACAATATTTCAAAAACATAAAAAGACTAAGTATAGAGATTTACTTTAAAATACTAAATTCTTTAAATTTGGTTTACAGCTAATTGTTTTTCTTAGAAACCCAGTACCATTCATTATAATAAATAACATTTCATAACAGAGAAATGATTCTTCAAGCGACTATGAGTTAAAAATGGAAGTGACAGATTGTCAATTTTATTGAACCATATAAAACTGCAGTTATAGCTGAACTAAGGATATATGTCAGTGGTTTCCTATGTTTAACTATTCTTGAGCCCTCTAAATTTTTAAATCTTTCTTGGGAAGGTAAATGACTTGGCAAATGTCACAGAAAAAGCTCTAAAAAGTTAGTCAGTTAGTCAGTCAATCTATCTTTTTTTTTTTTTTAAGATTTATTTATTTGATAGCCAGAGTTACAGAGAGAAAGAGAGACAGAGACAGAGACAGAGAGAGAGAGAGAGAGAGAGAGAGAGAGAGAAAGGGAGAGAGAGAGAGAAAGAGAGACTGAGACAGAGAGCAAGGTCTTCCATCTGGTGGTTCACTCTCTAAATGGCTGCAATGGCCAGGGCTGGGCTGGGCCAAAGCAGGAGCCAGGAGTTTCATCTGGGTCTCCCATGTGGGTGCAAGGGCCCAAGGACTTGGACATGTGCTGCTTCTTTCCTAGGCACATTAGCAGGGAACTGGATCAGAAGTATAGCAGCCACGACCCAAACTGGTACTGATACTGATATGGGATGCCAGCATTGCAGGCAGTAGCCAGCCCCCATATATATATATATATATATATATATATATATATATATATATATCAAAGTGTATATATATACACACACACACTTTGATGTGTATATATATCAAAAAGTTTATATAATATATACAATATATAAAGATTTATTTTTTATTTATTTGCAAGGCAGAGTTACAGAAAGAGGATGAGAGATGCAGAGAGAGAGAGAAGGAGATCTTCTAGCTGCTCATTTACTCTCCAAATGGCCACATCAGCCAGGACTGGGCCAGACCAAAGCCAGGAGCCCGAGACATCTTCTGGGTCTCCCATGTGGGTGCAGGGGCCCAAGGACTTGAACCATCTTCTTCTGCTTTCCCAAGCACATTAACAGGGAGCTGGATTAGAAGTGGAGCAGCCAGGTCTTGAACCAGCGCCCATATGTGATGATGGTATCACAGGCAGAGGCTTACCAGTTATTCCACAATGCTGGACCCAAAAGTATATGATTTAAAAAAATGGACTCAGGGAGGGTGTTTGGTACAGCAGTTAAAACCCCACTTGGAATGCCCATCTACCATATCAGAATGCATGAGGTTGAGTCCCATCTCTACTCCATGTTCCGGCTTCATATATGCACACCCTGGGAAGTGGCAGGTAATGGCTCAACTACTTGGGTCCCTGAAACCCATGTGAGACACCTGGCTGGAGTTCATACCTCCTGGCTTCAGCCTGGCCCAGCCCAAGCTGTTACAGGCATTTGGGGAATGAACAAGTGGATAGGAGATCTCTCTCTCTCTTTCTCTCCTTTGCTCCCTCTCTCTGATAAAATAAACATTTTTTAAAAAAGATTTATTTATTTAAAAGGTGGAGTTACAGAGAGGGAGGGAGGGAGGGAGAGAGAGAGGTCTTTCATCCACTGGTTCACTCCCCAAATGGCTGCAACAGCCAGAGCTGAGCCGATCCAAAGCCAGGAGCCTGGAGCTTCTTCCAGGTCTCCCACATCCGTGCAGGAGTCCAGGACTTGGGCCATCTTCTACTGCTTTTCCAGGCCATAGCAGAGAGCTGGATTGGAAGTGGAGCAGCCGGGACTCGAACTGGCGCCCATATGAGATGCCAGTACTGCAGGCAGACTTTACCCATTATGCCACAGCAAAATAAACATTCTTTTAAAAACTGATTTTTATGGCTTATGAAGTTTATCTATATGTTGACGTTTTTCAAATCTACTTAAAAATGGAGCCTGAATAGGAAGCAGGCAATGTCAGTTATTGAAAAAAGTTTTAGGTCAAAGTTAAGATTTTGGATACCAGGGCCGGCATTGTAGCACAGCAGGCTAAGCCTCTGCCTGAGTTGCCATCAGTATCTCATATGGGCACCAGTTTGAGACTCAGCTGCTCCTCTTCTGATCCAACTCCCTGCTAATGGCCTGGGAAAACAGCAGAAGATGGCCCAAGTGCTTGGACCCCTCTTCCCCATGTGGGAGACTGGAAGGAACTCTTGGCTCCTGGCTTTGAATCAGCCCAGTTCTGGCCATTTCAGCTATCTGAGGAGTGAACCAGTAGATGGAAGCTTTCTCTCTCTCTTTGACTCTCTCTCTCTATTTAACTCTGCCTTACAAATAAATGAATAAATCTTAAAAAAATAAGATTTTGAATACCATATTAAGGAGTTACTAATATGCAATCTTTATCTTAATATTGTCTACCCGGCTGCTCCACTTCAGATCCAGCTCTCTGCTGTGGCCTGAGAGGGCAGTAGAAGATGGCCCAGGTCCTTGGGCCCCTGCACCCACGTGGGAGACCCGGAGGAGGCTCCTGGCTCCGGATTGGCACAGCTCTGGCCGTTGTGGCCAGTTGGGGAATGGATCATCGGATGGAAGACCTCACGCTCTCTGCCTCTTCTCTCTCTGTGTAACACTTTCAAATAAATAAAAAAATCTTAAAAAAAAAAAAATCCAGCTGGCGCCGTGGCTCACTAGGCTAATCCTCCGCCTTGCGGCGCCGGCACACCGGGTTCTAGTCCTGGTCGGGGCGCTGGATTCTGTCCCGGTTGCCCCTCTTCCAGGCCAGCTCTCTGCTGTGGCCAGGGAGTACAGTGGAGGATGGCCCAAGTACTTGGGCCCTGCACCCCATGGGAGACCAGGATGAGTACCTGGCTCCTGCCATCGGATCAGCGCGGTGTGCCGGCCGCGATGGCCATTGGAGGGTGAACCAACGGCAAAGGAAGACCTTTCTCTCTGTCTCTCTCTCTCACTGTCCACTCTGCCTGTCAAAAAAAAAAAAAAAATCCAAAAACCCTAGTGTGGGGAGCAACTGAGACTAGACTAAGTTACTGGAATTAAGACTTATTCTATGCATCTGCTCTCCCACAATATGGTGCTGGGGAGGAGTAAACTTCCACGCAGCTGCCTCTCACCAATTTGACTGATGAGCTGCAGGAGCTGATCCTGCTCCTGATTGGAGGAGAGCAGCGTGCTTGGCGTGTGGGTAGCAGAGCATGGATTGGTGGGAGAGGACTATAAAGGAGGAGAGAGACAACATGCACCAGGAACATCTGAAGGAACACCTGAGGAACATCTGAGCAGCCCTCGAGAGAGCCGGCGGGCGGTGTGCCTCTCCTCCACGGAAGCGGGGAAAGTGGCAGCACGCCGGCCGCGGCGGCCATTGGAGGGTGAACCAATGGCAAAAGGAAGACCTTTCTCTCTATCTCTCTCTCTCACTGTCCACTCTGTCTGTCAAAAATTAAAAAAAAATCACAATGAGATTTCACCTCACCCCAGTTAGAGTGGTTATCATATAGAAATCAAAAAATAATAAATGCTGGTGAGGATGGGCAGGGTACCCTAATCCTCTGTTGGTGGGAATGTAAACTGGTACAGCCACTGTGGAAGACAGTATGGAGATACTTCAGAAATCTGAAAATAGATAGACCATATGACCCAGCCATCTCACTCCTGGGAATTTATTCAAACAAAATGAAATCAGCATATAAACAAGTTATCTATACCCTCATGTTTATTGCAGCTCAATTCACAATAGCTAAGATATGGGATCAAACCAAATGTACATTAACTGATGGTTAGATAAAGGAAATGCGGCACATAGACACTGTGGAATACTACTCAGCCATAAAAATGAATGAAATCCTGTCTTTTGCAACAGAATGGATGACACTGGAAACCATTATTCCTAGTGAAATAAGCCAGTCCCAAAAAGACAAATATGTTTTCCCTGATCTGTGATAGCAAATAAAATACAAAACAATGTAATACATATGAACAAAATTGACATTTTGAGATTTGATTATTGTTTATAGCCTTTGTCTCTACTGTTGAGAAATAATGTTTTTTTTTTTTTGGGAGGGGTTCCTTCTTACTATTTGTTGAATTCTTTACTTAATGGAGAGTTAAGCCCATGATTATAAAATAAACTAAAAGAATGTCATTGTAAAAATTAAAATAAAGAATAAGGAAGGAGGTGGAGGGGAGGGTGAGAAGTATCACTATGCTCCTAAACCTGTATATATGAAACACATGAAATTTGTTCACCTTATATAAATAAAAAATTAATTTAAAAATCGGTAAAAGTCTAGGAATTTAAAATGCATATTGGCAGTCTCTGTTCTCCCAAAGCAGCCAGGAGTTTGGTGACACAGGCTCCTGCCTTCTCCCTGTGGCTTACTCCCTCCTACCTTTTCCTCATTTCTCTGGCCCACTTTTTCCATTTTCTTATTCAGGACAATTCAGCCATCTCCAACCCAGTCCTTGAGTTCAGCTCTTATCTTCCTTCCCATACAAGCAGAAGTTTCTCATTCAAGGGCCTCCTCCCCAGAAGTCAGTAGGAAGGCATGGCCAGGGGCAGGAAGTGGTTTTATTTTATGTTGCTATTCACAGTCATTATATTGCTATTAATGAAGTACTGAGAAACAGAATATATCCAGGAGAATGTGGTCAATCGCAGTACAGACAAAGGAACTGAGTTGTCCCCTACTGCAGACAAAGGAACTGAGTTCTTGTCTATGTTCAGTGCCTAATGTCTTAACCTCTTGTCTATGTTCAGTGCCTAATTGAAGGGCACCTGTCTTCTACCAGCCCTGAGATTTCAGTTTTCAGGTTCTTTCCTAAGTTAAAGTGTTAAAAGGATGCCCTACAGGCTTTTCTGATCTTGGTGAACACTAAATGAGCCTCTTAGGAGAAGGATGATCAGAATGGATGGGGCTTCTGTCATACATTCAGAAGGAGCAGAAAAT